CATCACATCCCTACGACAGAGTCTACTTAAGCAGCTGACTCCATTCAAGTTTGTCTTGCCTGTGGCTTTTGGGCCTCAAAAGGGGAGAGACGAGCTGGTTTTCAGATGATGCTACACCAAAACCCATCCTGAGAAGTGTCTGTGTTTGCTGGATGAGCCAGACTGCACCCTGGTTATGATTCACAAGGAGATAAACATAGACTATGTTCGAATTCATGGGCTGCGTCTTCCAAGGACGCGGTCTACCTGGACTGGATCCTTTGAGGTCCTTGAAAATAAGGAGACTGGAAGAGTTTAGGCTGTGAATTCAAACAGGTCTACCCTTTGGCGGCTTTCACCGCTGTATGATCTGTTGCTAAGCAACTGTGACAGTTGACACACAAAGCAGGAAAAGAATGAACTTATCAAAACTGTTTATTTTTTTATTGTAAAGTGAACAAAGACTACACTCATGAGAATACCGAGTGGAATAAAGGTTCCAACCACCGGGAGCAGGAACAAATAAAATCAAATGTAATGATAGAAACCTTAGTCAATTAAATAACATGCTGCTGTCAGTTTGCACATCTCTGATGTAGCTGCTGTTTTCAACATTACTGTAAAAATGTCCATAACTGTATATTGGTTATTTATTCTCCAGGGGCACAGTTTTATATTGTTAAAACACTTTACTGGATTTTATTGTTTATCCTTTAACTCTTCACTATTATGTTTTTCTATTACATTTTCAATAATCTTTCTGCTGCTGTAAATTTGCTCATTGTGGGACAATAAAGAGATTTTTTTATTCTATTAAAGGGGTAAAAGGATATAAGTAAATCCAAACAATGTATGTATTATAAATATATCTGCAAAATCTTTAATATTCAACAATAAAAAAATACTTAAGAAAATTGTGCAAAACTGCAATAAAAAAATAAAAATCTTATCAGATTTATATTCCCCACACTGCAGCTATATTAGAATCTGTCCTTAAATTACAGCCAAACCCAATTCACATGGTAACAGATAAAAACCTTTAGATAAATTAAACATTACTGCCACATATCTGACTCGATAACCATTAAAACAACGTGTTCTAAACCAGATTGATGCTGTGTTTTGTAAACCTGTCTGCTGAAGCAGATGAGAGACACTTCAGTTCTCGTCAACCCACAGAACAGCCAGTTCTAATTGCTGTTCACCGAAGAGCCGCTATACTATAAGCCACCAGGCAAAACCACACTGGTTCTGAGCTGCAGCCTTGAACTGTGAACCAACCAGAGCCTGACCAATTGGTCCGGTTGCTGTTAGGAGCTGTGCTGCTACCATCTCATTTTATGAGTCCTCCAATTTATTTTCTTTTTTTTGGCTCTAGCTGACCCATCCCAGAGCCTCAGTCATTGTTAATTTTTCACAGTTTTGATTGCATTTAATATCTCTGCGTCATAGTTTGTCAAATCTATATTCTGCTATTTTAGAAGACACTTTCAATGTATTAAGCCTTAAAACATGAACTTTCCTCAGATTGTTGAACGGACTGTTGGAAAAGCTTTTTTTTTTCTGCTTTTATTTACTTGTGCTTATTTACAGTAATGATTAGTTTGTGTAGTTATTAGATAGAATACTGTGTGATTATTAGCTTATAAATGTACAATTGTACTTTAACCTGTGGTCTTTTGTGGTTATTTTAAACGGTGAACGATTTATCTTTCAGGTCGGACCCACCCTCCTTTTAACATTTGAATGAACAGAGAGAATTTCTTTGGTTGTTGATTAATAACTACTGATAACTATAGTCTGAATTACTAAATTGGTGAAGAAAACTGGATCTTAACAGCCAATCTAGAAGTTCAACCTCTATGTAAAAGACTAAGAGTCCTGGTGAAAAGGCAAATTACAGTTATAATCATTTAACTAATAATCATTAATTGGTTTTACCCTTGATTTGAACAATCTATTGATAAACTATAACTCTCACTTCTAGATATTTATTATATTCAGAATCTTCTGGTGAAATTCCACAACACATTGGCATAGCCAACCTCAGAGAGGTAAAAAAAAAAAACATGAATTATTTACTTGTACTCTGTGCAACAAAGACTAATGTATACACATTTATATTTGATAGGTTTCATAACTAGGGGGCCTTATCCATTTGCTCTGTTTGTGTAGCTTTGCCTTTTGTACGGTAGTTCTTTTTTGGAGAGCTGTAGAACCAATTTGACTAGCATCATTTCTTTGCATCCATCACAAAAAGGTGTTGGTGAGACTGTCCGGATTTAGCGCAGCAGTGCGTAGCTTCTGTCCTACATGGGAAAGATGTCTTACTCTTGAACCCGTGAAGGGATAGGACCCCAGAACAGGAGTTAAAAGCTGCAGTTTGTGGTGTTCTGATTAACACAAAGACTCATAAGTGGAAAATGTTTTTTTAAGTAAAAGTCCTGTTGCTTCTGATATAGTCTTATTTTGTGGCTGCTATAACCCAGGTTATTGGGATAAGACAGACTGTGGAATGTATTTATTAAAAGGTGACATGTATAGGAATTGATTCCACAGAATCTTGTATAAGTGCATTAAAGGAAGAGGGTGAATAAAAACTAAAATGTTTATTTGCAATTTTGCTCCTAAAACATGGTTTTCGTCACCATTTAATTTCCATAAGATGCTTTTTTTTGTTGTAATGCGACAGAACATGAGGAACTCCAAGAGGCATGAACAGGTTTTTAGGGCCAATCTTTTCCTCAGTATAAAGAGGATTATTCAGATTTAATAGATGTGTTAATAGTGTGTGGGTGTCCTGTTTGTCTTTCATAAACAGAAAACATTATGTTGCAAATGTTTTCTCATCCATTTATTTCCTCACTTCTGGCAGCTCCTAGCTAATTTGTTTACTTTTGGTTTTAGTCTGTGTTCATTATGTAGAAATACTAAAAGAAAAAAAATCCCATGCATAATATAACCTGCGTTTAACTTGGAGAGAGATGCTGTAGTTGTTTGTGCTTTATTGAGCTTTTTGGATTTTCAAGTTTTAAACTGACATCTTCCTCTTCCTCTATAATGTGATTGTAGGGAAAGCCAGTTGGGACTCCGGATCCTGGTGCGTTCTTCCGTGTCTTGTCTGAACATGGAGCTTCCTCTATGTTTACAGCACCCACGGCAATCCGGGCCATTCGGCAGCAGGACCCCAATGCTTCATTTGGCAGAAAATACCCTCTGACAAGGTAGACATAATTTCAGCATAATATGATCAACTAATGAAGACAGGTTTTATTTCATAGATTTTAATAGATTTTAACTGGGAATTTATGGCAGGCAGTTATTCCATTTATTGAAAGATTTGGGTCTGTTTTTATTACATACTTTAGCTGTGATTAAAATAAAGTCTGGGTTTTAACATGTTGGAAATGGAAAATGTTTTGTTTTAATTTTCTTAAAAATCTTTTTTTTATATATCTTAGCAGACTTTGCTCTTGATTCTTAGCTCTGCCTTTAACCCTTAATCGCCACCTTTCTTTGTCCAATCTACAAAAAATGCTTATGTTCTCAAAGATTCCTCTGGGGTGGTTAATGTTATATTTGACTCAGAATCTTCACTGTTGAGCTTTAGTGGGTTTTGATTTGTTTGTCTGGCTGCAGCTTAGAACTCAATTTCCGTTCAGTTTAATTATAAGGCACCTGTTGACACCACATGCCATCTTAAAGCGCGTTACAAAGAAAAAAGAATAAAAAATTGTACAGAGAGACTGGTTGACAGTTTTCTATTGAAGAAAACCCAGATGATTGAGTCGAACCATTGTCTTTGCAATGGCTCGACAATGTAGCGACATACATTCACTTGCATTGTGTTGTTAACTTTGCAGGATTCCTTCATACTTAGCATTTATATGACAGATGAGAGAAAAAACTCTCTTTGAACAGAAAGAAACCAGCAGCAGAACCAGGTTTATTGTGAGAGGAAAGAGAAACAGACACCAAAGGGAAAATGGTAGCACAGATGTATAAATACTTCAGCAAGAGAAATAGATGAATGATGATGAAAAGGATCGGATCGCTCTCTCCAGATCAGGCCTGACCAAGATCATTCCTTGCGGCCCGCTGTCCTGCAGGTTTTAGAGGCTTCCCTGCTTCAACACAGCTGATTACTATTGATAGCTGATGAACAGGCGGTTGCTGAACTGCAATCATAATCAGCTGTGCTGAAGCTGAGAAACATTGAAAACATGTTGGACAGTGACCCTTGAGGACCAACTTTCAACATGCATGCTAGATCCTTGAAAGGGCAATAGCTTTTTTAACTTAGGACATAGCATGGAATCCATAATTGATTCAGTCCACTAATAAAATGGAATATACCAAAAAAAGTAATATAATTATAATAAACTCAAAAACTAAGCATTTATTTTCTGTATAGATGGCAACTGTGCCTCAAAGTTTGCATCCAAGGCTCCACCTCATGTGTTGCCCTCTACATCCCCACCTTGAAGCATAAAAGGTCCATGCAAAGCACCGCATGAAATCAATTGTGTATTTAAATGAGCAAGCTGATCAGTGTTATTTACCAATGGCAACCACAGCAAAGAGAACGAAAATGAAGTGTAGTTTAACAGAAATGTTTGTGTCACAGGTGCATAGTCGGATAAATATATTCGGTGCCCACAGTAAATGAAATTAAGCATTATTATTATTATTATTATTATTATTATTATTATTATTATTATTATTATTATTATTATTATTAATGGCACCTTTAGAGACAGAATAGGACCAGTGTTGTATAAAGTACTGAAATCTCGGAGTCAAGTAAAAGTATAAGTACCTCTCCAAAATATGACTTTGGTAAAAGTCCAAGTCACTGACTGAAATGTTACTTGAGTAAAAGTCTTAAAGTATTTGAAATGGCTTGTACTTAAGTA